AAGCGCAGAGGCTCCGGCGTTCACCGAAAAATCGTTTATTGCATTTAAGAAACGGGGTCTGGCTTTCCACAGGAAAGAACTACGTTTAGACAGGTGCGTTACAAACAGCAGGGTGAGTTAATACGAGAGCCAGAGAGATGAGGAAAGGTTTATTACAACTTAATTCTGCATAATTTAAAAACAAAAATCCTTTAAAACGGTTAGCTGTAATACAAATTCTTTTATAGTAAAAAAAAAAAAAATCAAGTTGCCAGTGTATGCATCCGTACCACACTTCAGAGTCTTGGGCTCCCCCTGCTGATGGGCACCCCCCGCAGCCCAGCCAGGGGGTCAGGACCCCCCTGAGATCCATCAGCCCAAGCAGCACCCAGGTTTCTACAGAGCAAGGTCTAGCACTCAGAGACAAAGCATGATGAAGCTCTTCTAGTTTAAATTTCATAGAAATAGCTACAGCTCTAAACTGGAGAAAGCACTTCTACATCTAAGCACGCCTCATAACATCCTTTGGACACAGAATTCCTGAACTGCTCAGCTCCCTGTGGATGGCTTCAGCTCTATTTAAAAACAACCAACACAAGTATTTTAGAAATCGTTCACAAACTGAAATATTAAAATCAGTCTCTTCATAGATAGTCTATTCTGTGAATTAAGACATACACACTGCATTTCTATTCAGTAACAATCTGAGGAATCTTGAACAGTTCAGGAAACCCACACAGCTTAACCTGGGTTTTCCAATCTCCTGAAAACAGACAAAATCCAGCCAACGGATTGTGTGAAGTCTGTATTTGTTACCTGCCAAAGAAAAAAAAAAAAACACACACAAAAAACAAAAACAAACAAACAAACAAAACCCAAAAAGTGGGAGGAATGGAATAGATTGCAGGCCAAAGCACTGGATTACTTACAATAAAATGCATGTGTCGGTGGTGGTATGTGCAGCACCAAGACCACAAACTAAGAACACCCACTGAATGGAAAAGCTTGTTGGATCAGTGCGCTCCTGAAGCTCATTCTCATGAAAAGCAGAGGCCGGAGGAAACCAGCTGTCAGCCAGCAGGACATTAGCTCCTGGCAGAAAGCCACAGAAATATAAGGCATCTAAATGACTATCCATGAGGTACTCCAAAGTCAGTAAAAAGTTTTTGACAGTGTTCAAAGTTCACCTTCTGCTCATTTTCACCGCTATCATGTTATTCTCCTCAGTACTGTTGTGCAATCCATTTATTAAGTAATCTAGATAGGGATAAAGTTTTCTAGCATAATGTACTCCATAATGTAATCAATTAAAATAAATTGTTTAAGTAGTTCAATTTTATCTCACCATACTCTCTTCCAGTTAACACCAGGATGGCTGCTCTGCATGCCTACAGAAACAGTGTGGATGCACAATAATGTTTGCTCACAGGATTTCTTCTCCACAAAATTACTGTAATCCAGTTAGGAATAACCACAAAAGATACAGAACTAAAAGATTTCAGTATGTAAAAAAGTAAAAACTTTTTAAAACAGTAGTAGCTTCAGTACAAAATTGCAAACATATGTAGCAAAAGAAAAAAAAAAAAAAGAGGTGCCTGTTGTTGAAATTAAAAGTCTATTTAAGAGCAGTTCAAACATGTCACAAACTTTTTAAAGTACATCTCTGAATGATGCAAAGGTTATGGGCTTGCACCAGGGGAACTAGACAGTTGATTTAGGCCTGACCAACATTTAAAAAAAAAAAAACAAACATGTGCACTGGCTTAATAAATACATTTTCAACATGATAAAACTCTATTCACTTGGTTACCAAAATTTACCTACAGAAAGTGATCTTGAATTACAAGGCACAGAGTTAATTGCAGCCTGCAAGTCAAGCCCACACCAAAGGCCTACTACTAAAGTAAAGGCAGAATGTGGTGAATAGAGGTTACCTCACTGAAATACTCCTACACCCTCACAGCCTACAGGGCACTGCGGTAGGAGCCACATCTGCAACAGCACTTCTACAAGTGCAAAAGATGCAAAGACACTCCGGGTAATGGTACTTGGTGAAGAAAAATATGCAGAGTCTCTAGTCTTCTGCAAACATCATGCATAACGTGTGTTTGGTGTTGCCTGCGATCAGGCAATGTTTGGAACTGTGTTGGTTCACTAGCCACATATATCAGTATTTAGATTAACTGCAGTTTATAATCTATGGGTTGCAGTTTGCTAAAGCAGTATCAGTACGAGCATATGTCAGATATACAAAAGTTGCCAATAGTGTCAGCATCAGTTACACCAGACAAAGAAAGGCACATCCTCTTTAAAGAGGGGAATTAGGGCACAAATTGTATGTTTCTAACCACCTAGTATTTTTGTCCATATCATATAAAGCAAGGTCAAATTAACACAACCTTGTTGATATATTTTCTGTTATCTTGCTAAAATGAGTCTTCTTTCTGCCCAAGGAATACACCAGTGCAGTTCTGCATGTGTGGGAATCACAAGAAAGCAAGTTCTGAATTACCAATTGAGGCTGCATCCAGACAAAGACAGCACTGTCAACTTCAGACAACAAAGCCCAGTCCAGCACCATTGGTTTCACACAAAGTATCTTTGAAATATGCTGCTTTCATACCACCAAGCTGTAAGGTTAAGTCTAAGGAAGGTTTCATGCGCTTACTCCTCAGCTGGTCCCGGAATCACACATAAAGAACAGCGCACATCCTGAAAATAAAAGCCAGCTGCCACTCACAAGAGCCGCTAAAGAAAGTTAAAAAGTACGTAAATAGAATAACTGATTACCTAGTAGAGAAGAGGAAACTGTCCAGGTAAACCTATCCACAGACTGGCTAACCATTACAAATTTAACTGAAACCATCAGTGAGTTGCCAGGATGAAAGGTTTCCTGGTTCCTGTAAACAGAACTTCCAAACTTTCTGTCAGTGTTCTCCCAGAAAAACAATAAAGGAATTTGCCACAAAAATCTCAGGTGGTGGCCTCAAGAACATTAAGAAGTGAAGCAATGAATTCCTCAAGAGGGCTGCTATCAAGTCTCTGGGATTCATCAAAGGGATCACACTGAAAAATCTCATTTTGAGAAGTGTCATCCCAACTACCTCAGTCAGTCCAAGAAGGTAACGTTAACTTTATTCTCCGGGTGCAAAGTGTCTTTAGAGAGTGAAATAAAAATTCAGTTTAGAAGATTATGGAAGACTTGCATCTAAACCCCTCTTCCATTTCTCCAATTCAAAAGTATGAAAATTACTCATTTGAGTGATTCATCATTATCCTAAGTTCCTTACATTAGGAGAAATCAGCTCCTGCTTCTATTAATAAAATCATTGCAGGTGGTCCCTGGGTCTTGCTCATTGCATTAAACATGCCTTATGCTAACTCTTCATATAAACAATCACAGTTCACTATAAGGTGAATGTCAGTAATATTTCAGGCATTTTTGCATGTAAACAAATTGTTTTCAAGCTTTAAATTGACAAATGAAAACAACTGGACAGCCAGACCTATGTTCATAAAACAAATGCAATCAGTAAATAAGGGATGGGAAAAGCAGCAGGTACACTTAAAGCAAAGTTATCAGAATTTGTGCTTTTCAGCAAATGTCGTAACTGATGGCTACCTAATAAAGAAGTCTGGCTTCAAAGAAGTCCCTTCTTTATTTTCCTCCACTAAATAAGGACAGAAGCTAAGTGATCCCTGGAGAAGCTGGAGACTGGAACTTTAGAAATAAAGTAGGTATTTGACCTCTCAGTTGGAAAAAAAAAAAAACACCCAACCACAACTGTTCTTTTTCAGTTTCCCTGAAGCAATAAGACTGCAAGAATATTTGTGGCATAAACGATTTCTGTTTAGAGCTGTTAGTGCAAGATGCAAATCTTCAATTTATCTCATTAAAGAGCCCTCCAAGATTCTAGTCAATATCCGAACATCCATCACCCGAGGTAACTACAATAAGACACATTTTCTTGTATTCTTCTTTGTCACAGGATACAGAACTGCACGCACAGCTTCAGCAAACACTTCCCGAACACCCTCCTGATTCAATGCTGAGCACTCCAAATATTTGACCGCTCCAATTTGTTTAGCCAGCGAAGTCCCCTGCTGCAGGGTAGTGGGAGCCAAGCTTTGCTCTTTCAACTTCTTAACTGTTTCCAGGTCATTTCTTAAGTCTCTCTTAGTGCCCACTAAAAGAATGGGAACATTTGGACAGTGGTGAGAAACTTCAGGATGCCATTTGTGCCTCACATTTGCATAGGAAGAGGGGCTACCGATGGAGAAACAGATGACAAATACATTGGTTTGAGGATACGAGAGCGTGCGCAGGCGGTCGTATTCCTCCTGGCCTGCAGTGTCCCAGAGATTCAGGCTAACTGTCCGGCCATCAACAGTCATTTGGGCACTGTAGTTGTCAAACACAGTAGGGATGTACTCTTCTGGGAAGGCATTGGTGGTATAGCTGATGAGAAGACAAGTTTTTCCCACAGCGCCATCTCCAACAACCACGCACTTTATAGTCTGCATTCTTTACCCAGAAACAAAGTCCTGCACAAAGCAAGGAAAAAAGTTAGGAAAAGCACACTCAATTACAGTCATTTCACAGATAAGCTTTAGCAACTGTTTTTAATATTGCTAACGATTTCTTATCACAGCTAAATACATTCAGTGTCTCAGAAGCCATTATATGAAGAACTCACAGGCTAGAAAGACAATAGTGAAATGAAGATGCAATGAGTTGAGCGCTCAGTGACAACTGGCTGCATTCCAACCATGTAAGTACAAATTAGCCAAATTCCCACAGTCTTGCCTTACTGACAGACAGTTTCCCACAGGCAAAGGGACAAGTCCTTAGAGGTACCTGCAAGTAGAAAGGAATTGTTACCTCAGACCTGGAAATAAGATGACCTCTGTCATTTCTAGGTTCACACACACACCTCTGTACATACACACCCTCCAAGATTCACACTTCTTGTCTACATGTCTACTGCCTAAACAGTTTACCACAAAGAAAGGTCCAAAAATTGTATAATAAACTAAGATACCCATTGCTGGGCTGCACTGCTACTGTTTACTATAACAACTCACTCAACTCAGGATCAATCAGACCTCAAGAAACTGCGTTATTTAGAGGACACCAGATAAAAGGTTCAGAAAGCAGCATGTACAAGAAAAGCTGTTCTTTGAAATATAACTAGCCATAGTACCCAGATTAGAATACATAAAGAATTTTTCTAAAGAAGCCAAGAACAGATTATTCTCACTAATCGCTGACAGAACAAGCAGAACTTAATAGGCTTGAGCTACAATAAAGAAAGCTTATACTGAGTGCTAGAAAAATATGTGCTGTAAAAGATCAGCAAACAGCCTTCCTAGGCAGACTGGCAAATTGTAACAGCAGATATTTGATGCTTAAAGGCTTCCCTATCCCCTTCCTGCTATGTGAAGAGTAGGTTTGATAATCAAATGGATATAGCCTAAAACTCAAATCATTCTAAACTTTCAACACATGAACAGCAGAAACTCTGAAAATAGCATGGAACAACTACAAGCAGTCATTTGCTATACATTTGTTGTATGCTGGAGTTTCCACTGCTAGCCTGAACAAGCAGGAACTTGCATCTGCCTTCTCACCCAAATGCCTTTGAGGTACTATCAGTAATCTTCAACTTGCAACCAGCAGCAAATACGCTGCTTCAAACAGAAGAAACAAATAGTGGGAGGAACTATATTGCATACTCCAGAAAGATCACAGCTCCAATACCATCAAAATAGCAAAGGGAACATTAAAAAATGAGCCACAGTGAAGTACTTCAGTTATAGAAGTCATCCCATTCCAAAGCTACAGTCAAATGTAAAGAGAGATGTGTATCCAACTGCATATTGCAAAGGTAATCAGTAAAATGAAGAACAGCACTGACCAGCAAAAGCTGACAGCAGGACTGCATATGTTATTCCAGAACAGTTGCACCAAGATTTTCATTTAACAGGGCTAGAGGGGGGGGAAAAAAAAAAAAGGTAAGGAAAAATACAGGTAAGTTCTGTCAAATTAGAGGCTTCGAAACATTCATTGCATTTTGCAAACCCCAAAGTTGAAACCTCTTTTAACATAAAATGACTTAACACATTACAAATTAAAACATTTTTAGTATTATACTATTAATAGAGGTTGGACACTGTTACTGGCAGAATCAATGCAACATAGTATTTCTGAACATAAAGGGTCTAAGTGCTACAAGCAAACAGTGACAAAAAAGCGTATGTATTTTAATACCATAACACTGTTCTACCTGAAGATGCAACTTGCAGATCACCATCTGCTTTGAGACACTGCCACGCTCTCTCCAGTGGCAAGGCTGCCTTCACATATTTCCAAACCCTGTTTCCCCTTCCCACCCAGGTAGCATGCCACCTCCTCAGCTGTGACCACAAACTGAAAAAGGGTGAGGAGTTGTTTCATCCAGTTTACCAAGTAGGACCACAATCCACTGTGTTGGTACAACCAAGCTAGCGGTAGCATACGGTGGGAATGAATCACGAGGGAGGAACACCATGCGCTACTATTGCTGCCAAAGTATCACTGGACTGCAGTATAGAGAGCAGGTTTTAAAGCTTATTCTTGCTTTTACTTCAAACCACTGAAGTACTAGAAGATGCTGTGCCAAAAAGCGTAGTGGTGACGAACAATTCCAAAGCAAAAGTTTTCTTCCAAATGAACTCTCTAGGCAACAGACCACTATTTTGATCAGTCAATAGCAAGTGACATCATGGAGTAGGTAGAACTAAGTCAGCCTACATGCAATAAAGACTCAACTACAGCAACAAAAGTCTCATGGAGTATGAGATACACAAAGCTTTTTATATGCCCAGGTCCTAAAATAAACAAATTACAAATACTTGGAAACCAATCTCTCCTTAAAACACAAACCACGAGCTCCTCCAAGGGCTTACAGCTCTATGCATTTCTGTCCAGAGCTTTTCACAGAAAGACAGAGTATCCCAGAATTGCATCCCTACCTGCACACAGCAGGCACTCATACCTGGAGGGCTGTCACACCAATACTGTAAGACAACACAGTCAGTTTCATATATTGGTAAACTACAAAGACACTTGTATCCCATACCATCAGCAGCTAGAACAGTTTGATTCAACCTGATTTAACATTTCTAATGAAAGTGTGTTACCCAAAGATTATTTTGTTGGGGCTTTATTTAAGAGGTCATTAGAGCTTTCAATTCAGAGAACAGTTGTGAGGTAACAAAAAAGCCTGGAACACAAATGCTCTTTCACAGCATTAGTATTTTGAATAACCTGACTAAGGCTTGGATTTCAGAAGAGCGACATTTGCAGTAGGAAATAACTCCATGCAAACATGCCAAAGCATCAGGCTAAGTACGAACTACACAAATATAATTAAAAAGCTTGTAGGCTTTTAAGCATGCTTCTCTGCAGGGCTCCTTTAAAGTAGGTTGTCTTAGCTGAAAGGCATCATGTGTGGCATATGCAATACAGAAAAATAAACACACCAGGATACACATGATTTAGTACTGAAACATGAAATTTAGAGAAATTAAAAAAAAAAAAAGAGAGAGCAAGCAGAAAGAAGCTCCTACACTCCAGAAACCTGTATGTTGTGAGCAGGTGTAGTCTGGTTAAAGATTTACATGTGGAAGACAAGGGTTTTTTTAATTTAAGCCACAACCAAGCAAACAATACTACCTCCATCAGGCCTTTTCTATTAAATTCACATATCGCTTTGTTCAAAATGTATAGTCTCTATTTTTTTCTTGTAAAAAATTTGCCTAGTGATAAAACTCTCATAAGATATCAAGAAGCTGGGGTTCAAATTTGCATGGAAAATTCTTTTTATTTCTCAAGCACCCTTGAACTTGGCACTGCATGCTATCTGAATATAAATAGGTGCTGAAAAAAACCATACTCTGAAAACAAAATTACCAACAAACATTACTAAGAGCAGGAAAATGGTTTAGGGTTTGTTTGGGGGGTTTTTTGGTGAGCTTCAAAGGCATTTTTTGGGAAAAGACTTTAGAGAGAAAAACTCCACATACAACAGGTAACAAGAACTGAAAAAGAGAAAAATACAGATTAACACCTCAACACATCCAAAAAAAGACTGAGAATTTAGAAACAGAAAGCCTCAGAACCAAGTTTAAATGTTACTCAGCAAGAGAAAGGAGTGAACAGAAAGTCCAAAGTAGTGAGAGGTAATTTGGGTTGGTTAGTCCTGCCAGAGAAAGGACTTTTGTTACAGTTAAGGTGGAAGATCACCAGAACATGAAGAATTCCAGCAGTTACAGCCGAATGGGAACAATTTTCAAACAATAAAAAAAAAACCGAAACCCAACCACCCCACAAAGTATCGTGCAAAAATACGTAGATGAGGGTTATTTCTATCTTGTCCATCGGTGCCTTTGAATTATAAAACTGGCAGTCCTGTTTGGGTTAGTTTCCTTTTCAGAAGATGCTGCAAAGTCTGCCTTTGCTGCCTGCACACCTGGCACTTCCTTTGGAATGTGCAAGATTTCAATCGACGTGTCGAGACATCATCTGGAGAGCTGCTCTCATTCTGACCTAATTACATATTTTCTGGTATCATTAACACGGACAGCTTGCTCTGCTGTAACCCAGCGGACATTTGCTGGGGAAATTCACTACTTGGATTCCACTCCGCCTCCCCACAAAGCTATCATAAATTAAATCATAGAATAACTTCATGTTGCAGCAAACTTTTTTGTGGGAGAGAATAAAACTTTTAGATCTTCCCTTTAATACTTCTGAAGGAAAGGTCCCTGTCTGCTGAGAGAAGGGAGAAAACAGTGACAGAAAACTGAGAAGAAACATGAACTTGAACTCTTCTGGGGCTTTCTAGATTTACGCTTTTTATACTTCCTGCACTTTGAAAAATTCTTGGCATATTCTTAGCAGGATATGTCTCTGCCCTTATTATCTTAACACCAGATGCCTTTTTGCTAGGTGGATTTTAACTTTGACATTGCTCTTTGATAACCTCATTTTCACAGAGTTTGTCAGGTGTTCTGTATCTCTTTCCAGTCTGGATAGGGTCCCACTTTGGCCAAAAATGAGCAGAAAACACACAAGGAGTTCAGCTAAAATCCCCTGTACTGAGCTGTGTCGTTCTGTTCAGCCACCACCTTTGACCAATCCCTCCCTGTTTTTGCAGGCTTAGAAGCTTGGTACTGCTTTATCAGGAACAAGCAGAAGCAGAAGCTAAGAAATCTAAACAACCTAATTGCTCATCTTTCAGTAACAAAAAGCAGATCAGAGACGATTCACTTTGTCCGCGTGATACATGAAGTCGGGCAGAAACTTTCAACAATGAATTGGGTGGATGAGGCAGTTCTAAGTGTATCCTACTACCCTCACTCATGCAAAGGAGTTGGAAGATTTTTCATGTGTGCAGCTTAGCCACCAGATCTGACAGGGAAGAGAAAGGGCCTCTCAGCAATTTAATCAAGACTATGTTACTATTCCACAACAGCTCAGCTCACTCACCATTGTTTTAGGCAAGCGCCAAACGAATGGACAAGTGCCAGACTTTTAGAATGCATGCCAAGAAAGAGTAAAGAAGTTAAATAGGAGACCTCATCCCTAATATCCTTCAGCAAAGAATGACCTACTTGGATTTCTCAGTGCCTTTCAAAGTTTTCACAGCGCTTTCTGTCCTGCCATTTACCTGCAAAAGAAACAAAACACATGGCAACAGCCTAAGTGGCAGCAGGAGAAAAAAAGTCAAGAAGCCAAGACAGATTTCAGCAGCAGAGCAGGAACTGTGCAATCCACGACCCAGAGCTCCATATGAATAGCAGAATCAAGGAATCTTGCTTTTTCCAGAACTCTGCCTGGAGGTTCAGCTCCCATGCACGTATTACTGATGCCTAACAAGAGTGCAATTCTCACCACTCCCTCAGTATGAATGCTAGAAAGGCCTTACTCCTTTTGCCACAAAAAGTTGTTTCAAGGAAATAAAAGAAACCACCCAAAACTTTTCATATGATGTTTTTAAAACCTCAAATTAGCTTAAAATTGGTTTATCAATTTAAAGATTTTTTTTTTTTCAGGAATGAAACACATATAAGTTTTACCATGTAAGCAGTATTTCTTAGGCAACCACAGTGAAAACAAAGTGGCCTGCATGAGGTAGGTATTTGGGCGCCTCAACCACACAAATCTCAGTACATTAACATTCTTACTACAGGCACTCAATACTCCAAATTTATAGGAGAGCAACAATACTAGTGACCAAATATCAGTGACCTTAAATTCCATGAATCCAAGATTACATTTATTGGATAAAGTATGTCCAAAGGTCATTAGAGCAAGCTTGTGAAACAGCTGCACAGCTGTGAAATAACACCAAGGTGCAGCTGCACAGTCATACAGCAACTAAAAACTAGGACTTCAGTAGATATTCGAATCCCCAGTATATGAATGTGGCATGTATCCTGCCATAATCAAAAGCTGTAGAGTATTAAACTTGATTTTCCTCCTGCAACCACATGCAGAAGCATGGATTCGTCAAGACAGGTACCCTTCAAAATTTATTTAAACACAAGCAACCCTGACACACTTCGAGGGTAAGCGCAGTAAACGTGTAAGACTAGGAGCCAGGTCTGCAGGGTTCTATGCCCAGATCCACCACACAACTCCTGAGTGACACCCAGGGCCTCTGCAAGATGCTTCTATCACAGTCAGTTCATAAAAAGAGCGTAACATATGTCCTTCCTACCTTTTATAGATTCTGGCAAGGCCTTATTCATTACTGTTAGCTAAAAGAAAAGAAGACAGTACCTCAGACATGACGTTCTGTGAAGAGGCACAGTAAGCCTACTGCAGAGTGAATGACAAATCCATCCAAAGCATCCCTGACTCCTATTTGAGGTGGAAAAAAACCCTGTTATTTTATCTTCCTATCATGTTTTGTCACCTGGCATTTATTGGCACTCTAAACGCT